AACGATTAGTTGAATTTATTCTACCACTTCCACATTTACATCAGGTTATGGTCCTTTTGTACCGTTTTTGGTAGAATTGTTACGCGGAATTAATTTTATAAATCGTGCATTTTAAAACGCAATGGCTTCAGTTTTCCATTTTCCATTCGAAAAGCTACGTGGACGTGAAAATTTCGATGTTTGGAGACGACATGCAAAATATGGTTTGGTGATTAAAAAATGCTGGAATGTTGTCGAAAAAGGGATAAATGGGGACAAGGATCGCGAAATTAATGAACTTGCTTTGGCGGAGATAACGCTAATGATCGAACCCAACAATTTTGCTCATATTGCAAAAGCTAAAACGGCAAAGGAAGCTTGGGATTCGATAGTAAGCGCATACGAGGATACTGGGTTGACCAGAAAGGTGGAACTGTTGAAACAGTTAGTGCAACTTAAGCTTGGTGATTTTTCATCAATGGAAGAATATGTAAATGCAATGATTTTAACATATATCTAGGTCAACAATGCTGGTTTGGTAATTAATGACGAAGTAACGGCTTCTCTAATGCTGGCAGGATTGCCGGAAGAATTTCAATCATTGGTGATGGCAATTGAAAATTCAAAGACCAAATTGACTGTTGACTCGGTAAAGAATCTATTGTTGCAAGACGCTAAATTTGATAACAATAAGAACGAAAAAGCATTGGTGTCAAAAGAAAAACAAGAACAATCCTATGAAACCAACAAAGAATAATGGTGAAGTTTTGTATGCAGCTTTGATATCTGAAACAGACAAAGTGAATGAATGGTATATCGATTCAGGAGCGACGTCTCATATGACTAATAATAGAGATTTGTTATTTAATGAAACTAAGGTTTGTAACAAAGAAATTGTGGTCGCCAATAATAACAAATTGAAAGTTTCGAGTTCGGGAGATATACAGATGTCCTTGAATATGAGTGAAGATTCGTGCAATGCAGTTGTTAAAAATTTGGAGTATGTTCTAGATCTCTGTGCGAATTTGCTTTCGGTTGCTCAGTTAACCCAGAATGGCAAGAAGGTTATATTCGAGAAAGATATTTGTCAGATTTTCAACAAGGATGATAATTTAATTGGGGAGGCTGTAATGAATAATGGATTGTACCATCTGAAGTGCGATGTGAATACCACGAAAGAAAAATCTCTCATTGAGAACCAAACTTCAAATTTATGGCATCGTCGGCTAGGCCATATTTGTAGTGAAAACCTCCGAAATGTGAAGTCGTCTTGTTATGGTATAAATTGCGAAGTAACTTCAGATCAATGTGTTACCTGTGTTGAAGGAAAACAGACTCGAAAATCGTTCAAAGACGTAGGTGAACGAGCTACAGGCTTACTTGAAGTAGTGCATTCCGATTTACTTGGTCCATTTAGGCAAAAATCAATTTCTGGGAACTGTTATTTATTGACTTTTGTTGATGATTTTTCTAGAAAAATTTTTGTTTACCCAATAAAACGAAAATCGGAAGCTTTCGAGAGGTTTGTTGAATTCAAGAACGCTGTGGAAAATGAATGTTCGAGAAAAATAAAGATATTACGCACTGATAATGGAAAAGAATATGTGAACAACCGATTTGCGACATATTTGAAAGAACACGGAATAAAACACCAGAAAACTTGTCCGTACACTCCAGAACAGAATGGAGTAGCAGAACAAATGAATCGGACTGTTGTAGAAAGGATGCGGTGTATGCTATTCGAGAGCAAATTAAGGGAACAATTTTGGGCAGAAGCAGCTATGACTTCTGCGTATCTTATAAACCGTGTTCCATGCAGAGGTAACTCACGTGCTCCAGAAGAAATTTGGTCAAACAAAAAACCAAATTTAAAACACCTAAGAGTATTTGACTGTAAAGCTATGGTTCATGTACCAAAACAGAAGCGGTCAAAATAATAGAAAAAGTCCATTGAATGCATCTTAGTTGGATATAGCTCAGAGTCTAAAGCTTATCGTCTATTTAATCCCACAAAAAATGAAATTATCACTAGCAGATATGTCGTTTTCTTCGAATCTGAATTTTATGGTAAAATGTCTGATCAACATAACAATCTATATTTTCCCGAAATAGAGAAAGTGGTGAATTATGAAGATGGCAATTCCGGGGGAAGTACTGTAGTTGAATTGTCAAATGAGAGAGAACCAACAATCGATTTGGAATCGGATAATGATTTGGAACCCAATGATAATAACTCAAGAAGTAGTGACGATGATTTTATGGACGCGATTACACCTGATGTTCATAATGCGGAATCTTCAGAAAATATAAATGAAAATCTTAATGTACGACGTTCAGAGAGTTTAGCTAACAGGCCTAAACGATCCTTTGTTATTAGTGCGATGAAATTTGTGTCTGATGATCCGACTAATATAGTCGAAGCTATTTCATCACCATATGCAGAGGAATGGATGCTAGCGATGACGAAAGAACATGATTCGTTGATTGCAAATGAAACATGGATTTTAACAGAGTTACCATCAAATAAAAAAACAATTCCTGCAAAATGGTGTTTCAGGACAAAACTTGGTGCTAACAATGAGATTTTGCGGCGAAAAGCAAGACTTGTGGCAAAGGGCTACAATCAAGAAAAAGGAATTGACTATAATGAAACTTTTGCTCCTGTAGTCAGGTACGAATCAATCAGATTTGTAATTGCTTCAGCTGCAAAGTACAAACTGAAAATCCATCAAATGGATGCAGTTACTGCTTTCTTAACCGGTAATCTAGAGGAAGAAATATATATGGAGCAGCCCAAAGGTATGAATGATGGAACTGGCAGAGTTTGCAAACTTCAAAAGTCTATATGGATCAAAACAATCAAGCCGTGTATGGAATGATACTATTAACAATGTTTTGTTGAAGATGGGGCTTACTCGATCCGAAACCGATCAATGCATTTACTACAGAATTCAGAAGGATGAAATAACATACATCGCAATTTACGTAGATGATGTTTTGATTTTGTCAAATAAATCAAGTAATATTGAACGTATTAAGGAATCTCTGAAGAAAAATTTCAAAATGCAAGACCTGGGTGAAGCTTCTTCAATGTTGGGAATTCGGATTTATCAAAAGGACAACTATATCAAAATTGACCAGACCCAGTACATTCAAAATGTTCTTAAGCGTTTTCAGATGGTCGACTGTAACCCAATAAAAACTCCAGTTGATTGTAGTACAAAAATGTCAAAGGAACTTTGTCCTAAAACAAGGGAGGATGAAATATACATGTCTAAAGTTCCTTACATGGAAGCTATTGGGTGCTTATTATTTGCTGCAAATGTAACTCGCCCTGATATCTGTTACATCGTTAACGTGCTGAGTAGATATTGCGAAAATACTGGAAAAGGTCATTGGGAAGCATGTAAAAGAGTGATGCGTTACTTAAAAGGAACCATGAATAAAGGTATAGTTTATGCACAAGTTGGAGAAGAAATAACTGGATATTGTGACGCTGATTGGGGTAGTGACGTGGGTGAAAGACGTCCAACTACTGGATATGTATTTACTTTCCAGTCAGGTGCTGTGTCATGGGCTACTAAAAGGCAGAAAACTGTTGCTTTGTCTTCAACGGAAGCGGAATTCATGTCTATTGTTGCGGCCATTCAAGAAGCTATTTGGCTAAAACATTTGGAGAAAGAACTCAGTATTAAACCTTCAAAAACTATAGTTTTGCACTGTGATAATAAGAGTGCTATATTCACGTTGCTCATAATAATGCCTATTCGTCTAGAACGAAGCACATCGATATCAGAGTCAAATTTATACAAGAACGTTTGCTTGATGGTACTATTAACTTGCAATACATATCTACAAATAAAATGGCTGCTGACATGTTTACAAAGGGCGTTACTTTCAACAAATTATTAGTTTTTACGAAAGTGTTTGGCTTACAATAACAATTGATCATATATTTAAAACTATGTTACTATAAGTAGATATATTACATGCTCACTGCTTGTTTAAGATCAATTTTCTTGTAAATAAAACACTTGTTAACTGATCATCAACCATTACTGTTGTCCTTGGTAAGAGGTCGTTCCAATATGTTCCACAATTGACAAACCAAACAACGACAGAGGGGTCTACGATCCGAAACGACCCGAGTCTTACTCGGCCAACGTCTGTCACCTCAGCCCATTGTGTAAAAGCAATAGGGCTGCTACAACAACAAACCAGCCAGCTCAAATTTCCCGTGAAGATTCCCACAATTGGCAGTTTGGTCTGTGTACTAAAGAGAACAACGAATAGTTCCACCACCGTTGAGGCAACAACAATCTAATACTGTCTGTGCTGACTGAGCGAGCAAACGACTCAACAAGCAGTAATCACTTTTTCGTAATGAAACGCACTATTTTGAATGAAAACAAAGCACAAACTTACCTGGATATGGATCAAAAAATGACAATTGTGGGTATCTTCACGGGTAAATTTGAGCTGGTCGGTTTGTTGCTGTGATTCTCGAAAATATTTCAATAATGGAAATATTTTCCTTACAATTATTATCAATCGTTAATGGAATGGAATAAAGGAAAAGAAAAAGCAAAAATGTTATGCACGTTTTCTGTCTGTTATGCACGTTTTCTGAAATTTTCATACTGTTGTAAAGTATAGCGCATTCGAATCAAAGGCATAACAGATTATTTTCCATCAAATCTACTTTCATTAAAAATATAATTTTGTATATATTTTATTTAACGGCAAACCTTAAAAACTAGCTTTAAATTAATCTGGCTGCATCTTCATGAGATAAATAGAGTTATTTTCAAAAGTGTAAGTTGTTGTATTTGAATATGGCGAATAATTTGTGAATATGAATGACTATATTTAAAAAAATCAATATAAAAAAAGTTTTTTATTTGATCGTTTTTTAAATGTTTTGTAATAACAAACATTTCATTACGATGATATAAACGAATGCAAATATCATAATCACAGATTGATATAATTATGTTTAATATATAAATGAGTGACCCATATTATACTCGCTTGGGTTTTCTAACATATGTATAGTTAATGCCATTTGTGTTTCGTTGACTTTCGTTGACTTCCTCGACGCTGGCAGATGGGATATTGGTAGCTAATGGATGTACAGGCGACGAAAACAATGAGTTCCTTGATTTTCGAAGCACGCCATATCCCAAATGTGCGTCGTCAGCTTTGCGACATGAATCTGTGTCGGGCACATTTATCAATTCATATTCATTTTGTAATGGCTTAGTGGCTGGACATTGATTTACAGTTGAATTGACCGGAACTATTGTCTTATATCCACTGGAATTCCTATTGTTGGCTGTCAAAAACTCTAGCCGATCGTATGTAAGATCTACAGGAAGAATGTTTGAAAAACTTTTATTGCATTCGCCTATGTCTATATCAAACATTACTGACGTGGATCCTAGATGTACGCTTTCTTTTTTGTCTCTAATGTTTACCACCCTATCCCGGTTACGAGGAATGTCTTGAAAGTTTTTCGTATCTGATATTCGAATATTTTCATTATGTTTTACTTCATTTATTCCTAATGTTTTCCACGCTTCAGTTATATTTTCAATACTTTCATAATCCCGTTCTGCAAAAATTTGGCGACATGCAATTGCTTCCGCTGTAGGGTCTGGCATGGAGTTGATTTCGTGATGCATGTTCGGTGATGGCGGTTTAAGTATAACAGTGGATCCTACTGCTTTACTTGAATCACTAGTTGTAATTCCAACAGCTTCAATGTGTTTATGCTTTGTGTTATCATTTGTAGCATTATGTTCCATATTCAATGATATACATTGAGAATTAACACCGGTTGGCTTTTCTGTCATAGGTACAATTCTACGAGGCGGTTTATTGGGAACCGTTTTTGGTGATAGTGTCACTAAGCAGCTTGGGTCTGTAAGTCCTTTAAGAATTTGGTTTGAATTAATCTCTAATTCAGAAGAATGTTGTGAAGAAAACGAAGTAGGTAATGGACTACGAGATCCAGCTTCCATGGATGCAGCCGCATTAAGTTGGTTCTCGCAATTATCAATATTAACAACATCGCCGGATATAAGTTTTTTCATACTTTTCATTTTTGACGACATGCAACGAAAAACGTCCTGCGGATTTGTGTGATCCAAAATAAACATACCCTCTCCCGTTGAGCACTTCCTACCAGCTTCAAATGTAAATTTTCCATCGCGATATCCATATTTGCGAATGAAACGATATGGCCAATTAGATATAACGTTTTTGGAACCGTTAGCTAATTTTAGCTGTAGCTCAGTAGCGGTTAAATGTAAAATATAACATTTGGGGTCGATGTTACAGCGGATCGACGCTTCCGTCGGAACTAGAGAGACAATAAAAAGACCATCGTCGTAAGAACTGCAATATAAGTCGTTGTCCTCTTCAATGGCAGATACATTTTGGGAGTTCTCATTTTTGCTGCGAAAAGCTACGCTTTGAAGGGCATTTACCCATTCCTTCAGACTTTCCTCATTTATAGCATTAAGTGTTAAAGTAGCTGTTTTCTTAACTATACAAATAAGATTGGCTGGAGACGGTTCTTGAGTAATTTTAACGCAATTTTCCAAAGTTATAATTTTTGGATTTTTGTCGTCCTTTGACTCACATATTTCCAGCCTCTCAATTCCATAACGACTGGATTTAAATAGCAAGCAATATTTCTGGCATGATTTCTGAAAATGGCATGAAAAAAATAAATACATTTAAGTTTACATATAAAATAATTGTATGAAATCGTTGGCTTATGTAATAATACGGACATAAAAACTATCAAACTATTTCACACCTTAGTAAAATTTGAAATTCAATGAGATGGCGGCTATAATTTTTATTTATTGTTGTTATATATGACTTACTGAAAATATACAATTAGGATGATATGATAGTTATGAACCTGAATTCATACTGCTGAAAATAATTTTTTTTAGACAGTTCATACAGCATAAAATCTTAAAGCTAGGTCGGGCTAGGCCCGATCTTTATACCCTTCAGGTACACACTCATAATACCAAGAATGGAAATATAGACATGGTAAATGTAGCTAAATGTAGGAGATTCTGGAGTTCTCAAGTGTCAAACAATGGAGTTGGTGTCCATCTTCCCAAAACCCAGCTGACAAAGGCACAAGAGCAATTCTTCCGGTGAAGTACGACTCCGACGGTATGTGGAAAACTGGGCCTGAATTTCTCCCACTTGAAATAACTGAATGGCCTCAAGAATCAAGAACTATACAAATTGATGACAAATCAGATCATGAACTAAAACCGAAGTTTTTCGTTATGGTTTCGCATGTGACATTGGATATAGTTGAGAACATAATAAATCGAACTTCGAAATATAAGAAGGTTCGAAGGATATTAGCATGGACAAACAGATATTTGGATAACTTGCGAAAGAAACGCGAAAACAAGGAATTGAATTACGGAGAATTAACGGTAGAAGAGGAAGCACGCGCTGAGCAAGTAATATGCCGGGAAATTCAGAAAAAGTATTTTAATGAAGAATATAGTTTATTGAAAGAAGGAAAGCTAATACCTAAGTCAAGCGATCTGCTAACTCTTAGTCCGTATATAGACGATATGGGGGTTTTGAGAGTGAATGGACGCTTGGAAAATGCAACATTTCTTCCAGAATACACTCGAAGACCTATACTTCTCCCTAGTTCTCACAGATACTCGAGCATGTTGATACAATTTTTTCATGAAAAGAATTGCCATCAAAATGCTTCAAATGTTATATGCGATGTAAGAGAAAAGTTCTGGATTCCATCAATTCGAAGGAGCTTGAAGTCTGTAGAAGCGAAATGTGCACGCTGTAAGATACTAAAAGCAAAGCCCATGCAGCCACAGATGGGAATTTTACCTAAAGACCGGGTCACACCATACGTTCGGCCATTTACCTATACTGGAGTGGACATGTTTGGTCCGTTCAATGTCAAAGTTCGCAGATCTACTGAAAAACGATGGGTTTGCATATTTACATGTCTTTCAGTAAGAGCCGTTCATTTGGTGCTTGCAAGCGACTTATCCACAGATTCATTTATACTCTGCTTGAGAAATTTTATAAATCGACGGGGCGTTCCCCTTGTAATTCGGAGCGATAATGGGAGAAATTTCGTTAGAATCAGAAAAGAGTTGAAGAACGAAGTCAATTTTCTTGACCACAACGAAATAACAAGATCTCTGACGCCTCTTGGAATTAAATGGATTTTCAACACACCCCTTGATCCTAGTGCGGGAGGAGCATGGGAAAGGCTGGTACAGTCCATAAAGAAGTCTATGTCAGTACTTATGCAACAGTCATGCCCTAAAATTGAAGTTTTTGAAAGTTTAGTTATAGAAGCCGAAAACATCAGAAACTCAAGGCCACTGAACCATGTCCCGGTAACACCGCAAGAACCTGAACCGCTAACTCCAAATCATTTCCTTTTAGGATCAACAAATTCGACCCAAACTCCGGCCAAATACGAAGTATTGAGTAAGCGACTTAGAAAGCAATGGCGAATACTGCAGAACCTTAAAAATGGATTCTGGAACCGTTGGATTCATGAGTATCTACCGGATTTAACTAGACGAGTTAAATGGTGCTTGCCTTCAAGAAATTTGCGTGTTGGAGATTTAGTACTTATATGCGATTTCAGGTCACCACGATCGCAGTGGCAACGAGGTAGAATAATGAATGTCTATCTAGGCCAAGATGCCACAGTGAGATCGGCTGATGTAAAAACAGTTGAAGGAACTTTCAAAAGACCAGCATCAATGTTAGCTATATTAGATTTTGATCCATAGATAGTTAATCTCCCCCAGTCGATTAACGGGGGGTGAGAAAATGTTAATCGTATATTGATTTCTACTCTGGCATGTTATACTGTGTTTAATTTTTTGAAGTAGCCCATGAGCTTTTATATTTATGTCATTAATAATAGTAGTCTATGAAATAATTTGTATGTATATAAAAGACAAAAATTTTATTTCGATTCATTCCGTTCGTTAAAATTGAAAGGGAAATAACAAATGTAAGTTTATTTTCAAAATTATTCTTGTTAATTTATATATATCATTTGATATTTAATTTGTATAATAATTTATTGTTCTAGTGAATAAACAACGCCGTTTTATCAATATCCCGATTATTTCAATTTTAACAGTAAATATTTGGTATTACGAAGTGACACCCAATTAAATATCAAACTATAGCTAATTCGGTTGAAACGTGTCCAACATCAATACTGAATATTTGGGGTATCAATGCCAAACATCCTGTGAATAAATCAAGGTGTTGCAAGCTGAATGACGAATTTAATATAAACTTCACCCTTTCGTGGAAAATAAAAGCCTTTAAACAGATAGATGTGCGACTAATATCTGTCAAAACGTCAAACGTTTATAACCTGAGGTAGACATTTAAAATACATCTTCGGGATTTGCCGTGTGGGGTATGTCTTGGTCAATTTTTGGTAGGAAGATTTTATTTTATGAGTTTTTTCACTTATTAACAATCAACCAATGTCATAATTGAAAATCTTGTTTGGCAAACTTAAATCTAGTCTAAAAATAAAATAAAAAAAAAATATTATAATCGAACGAAAAATAGGAAAAATTATTAGCGATTAATATCATATTTAGCACTTAAAAGTATTTTCTGGAATATATATAGAATACTAGGTAACATGTTCCATAGTCTCGTTATATGAACTGACAACGATCGCTCTAATACAAGATGGGGAAACTTTGAAGGAGTAAATGAGTATTGTTGCTATTATTCAAAAATTTATTTTGTTGAAAAGATAAACAGGTGTACCATATTTCACCACTCGGTATAATATTGAAACTACCTTGCCTAGTTTCCAGGGAAATTGCGTGTCATAATGTAGTATTATAGAATTGAAGTAGATGGTTAGAAATAAAGGGGGATATTAGCTTTATAAATTGTAAAGGAATACGATTCGAAACTACTGCATTAAGGATTTCCCACTTAACTCATCACTGAAACATCGGAATCCTGAAATTGCAACTGTGTTAGAAAGAGTACATGTCTAGCTCTCGTATGAACTAGGATTATTGACTTCGCTTAAAAATGTCCCCTTAAGGGAATCCCACCATTTTCGATTTCAATTTTTCATTATGGCAGCACAACTACGAGCCATTACATCAATAAAATGCTCATACCTACCTTGGGAAGAGGTTATGTCTGTTTATTTGTGAAACTCTTTTGATTTTGCTATCTTTGATACTCCAAACTTTTCTATAGGGTAAAGATCTAATGATTGTGTTGGCCATTATAAAACCGCGATTTATGAGTGCCGCAACCAATCTTTGACAAGTTTTGGTGTATGTTTGGAGGTTAAGTTAATTTATTAAGTATAGTAACAAAGCCAAATAGGCCAATTAAGTTTTGTAAAACATTCGCCGGATGTCTCTTTAATCGTCGATATATACACATATCTCCCAAAATGGTTGCCATTTTTGTTTTATATTCGTTCTTGTATATGGCTACTGTCTTCCCACCTTAGTCCGCACGGGTTATAATTAAGTTTTCATTTTGCTTTAAAAGGTTTTGCATCGACCCAATACGTTCATTAATTGTATATCTCTTGAGTTTAATATTCGTTTCTTCCTCATATGTTTATCTATGAGTGATACCAACTTTGGAAAGCGGAAAAACAAATGTTCTTGTAGAAACTATCAATCCTATCCTGATGCAAAATGGTGTGTACCCGATCCCTACGTAAGTGGAGATCACCCCCTCGGTCGGAAGGGTGGGAAAGAGAGGCGTGGGAATGTCGAAAAAATTGAGAAGATATAATAAATATAATTACGGATAGTAATTATATTTATTATATAAATATAATTATATAAATATAATTATGTTCCCAAAAGATAAATCTAAAGCTGTTCTGGAATGTATAAAAGCCATATATAATTTCTCATGACACGGTCCTGTACGAATGAATGATATAATTAATCTCCTTGCCAGAAGTGCTACTGTTTAACCCACTATAGACATAGATAATGTCAAATCTTTTAGCGCAACACGTCTAGAAATGTGGTCAGGGGCGAAAGAAACCCACAAAATTATTTGGAATAATGTGGGGACATGAAAGAACACAAAACTAAGCTAATCGTTCTGGACTAAGCTAATCGTTCTGTAACAAGCCAGCTAAGTAAGTAAAATGGCTCACAATTGCAGATACATCCTTGTCAAAGCAAATTTTGTAAAATCTTCATGAACTGCCAACGAATAATAGCATGAAATTGTGATTATTATTACATTAAATTGTAATAATTGAATTCCTGACATTTAATTTATTTTCGCAGAAAATGTCCTAAACGCAAAAAAAATGCGAAATATATGTACTTGTAGGTTTAAACCTTTAATTTGATTCTTAAAAAAGCTTGCTGGAAATAGTTAAACGGCTAACTTAAACAAAATATTGTCCGAAATTTCAAGGCCCATATATATTTCCCCCACATAAAATATATACATATATCACTGTAATCAGCTGAAAAAAAAAAATTCAAAACGAACCGAGTGGAACCCCTAAACTTAAGCCTTTCGTATATTTTGATTAACGTTCTACATAAAATGTAGAGGCACATTAGGCATGTTATTGATTATCACATGTTTTAACGAACTTTCTTTATAGCGAACACAGTTCCTGGTCCCGAAATTTTAAAAAATATTTCTCATACAAATCTTTGCTCTTATAACGAACTGCGGATATAGCGAAATTTTTTATAACAAACTATTTATTAGGTCCTGTCTTTCTGTTGTCATATATTTTTATTCGGTTTTAACGAACTTGCTATAATTTTCAATATAATTAACGATACAAATCCGCACAAAAGTTAATTTATAAACTGACGCTGGTAATCTTAACAACAAATGTCAGGTTTATAAAATAAGAGAAGCAGCTAAGTATTGCGAAAAAGGACACAAAACCTAAATATTTCGAAAATGAATATATTTCTCTGCTCCTTGGTTTTGCCTTACCTTGGATATAACGATCTTCTTCTATAACGAACTAATTTGTTTGGTCCCTACTAGCTCGCTACAACCGTACTTTACTGTAATTGCTACAACAAAAATAAAATGGTAACAAATTCGCAGACGCAAAAATTCAGAAAGCTGCAATAAAAAAATAAACTGGCAATAATTATTGAAAAACATCGCAATATTCGAAAATGTAGGAGTAGATGTCTTATCCAGAGTGCAATCAAAATTATGTATATTTAATCTGATAGTAATGAAAACACCTGGGCGCAGTTAAATATCTACGCGTTCGGAATCAGTTATTGTTATTACAATAGGATACAAGACACCTTCGAATCTTCACCAGAACATAATTTGATATTTTATTGTGTGCAACTGCTATACTCAATCTAGTTACATTAATAATGTTATAAATACAGAATTAAATATCAAAATATTAACACTATTTAACATGCTCAGAAATGTCTGTTGTATACAAATTACCAACAAGTATAACATATATGTATGATAGACAAAGATAGCTTACTTTTTTAGAAATTCGATGCAGTGGGAATCCAGATTGAGTTGGCACATTTAAATATCCGGATAAAATCGGCACTTCGACATCCATTATTAAAAGCCAAATTGCAAAAACATAAAACAGCGAAAACAAGAATTCGTGTATATTTCGCACTCCCAGAAAATTCTACATGTTCAAAACAAACAAAATTCAGAGAAAAAACCTTGCCACCTGGTTATACTAAACAAATTAACAATGCATTGAATAGGGACTTATAAAACGATTAACAACTAATCAACTCTTCTTCTTCATTATACAAAGCGGGATGACAACACACACATGTATACCTCATAATGCCATGCACTGAAGGCGTTGTTCGGTTTCCCTTTCGTTGTTCGACCCTTAAGGAGGAAACACATACGAGAATTCAGGCATGGCATGTTGAGTTGGCATTTTTTCTCGGTTTCTATCTTGTACTTATTGGTCTGTTCCCGTACTGCAAGAATCTACTAGATTTTACTATTTTTTCGATATCATAAAGGAAAATTTGTTATCGTAGTAAAAAGAAGTAGATTATTACAGTACGAGAACAGACTATATGTGTTTCCCCCTTTAAGGCGAGTACACACGCATTTTGGACTGTCAGCTCTTTTATCGACTGTTCAAACAACCATGAACATTTTCGTGATAGCCGTACTATAAAACAAGCAACATTTGGTAAGATTGTCATTCAAAAATTATAGTGTATACGCCATTTTAATTATAAAGTAATTACTTTGAGCCATGTAGTCTCATTTGAGAAATTGATAATGTCAACCCTTTTTAATATGGAATTCATATATCAATTTCAAAAAATATGAAAAATAAATTCCATAAAATTGTATGTATGTCGATTGGCATATTTTCAATAAATAAAACAAAATATATTTTTAAGGCTGAACAGCAATTCCCAGCTGATTTGATTCCAACGTAATACCCATGTCAATATGAATATGACAAATTATGTTTTTAAAAATGACCCAACAGGAAAATTGGGTACGTATACAATTCGAAATTGTTAATTTTTATATGTCCTCCCGCATTCAATTTACTCAATCTGCTTGCTGGAAAGTTTGAGAAAGCAAATCTTTCTTGATGGAATGACTCGCAATCTCCAGCATTTTCATATTGTTACGTTCTTGGATTTTACCTAATCCCGTGTAGACGTTGTTTTATTTCCCAATACAGTTCGTACCAAATAAAACGCGGGTTCTTTCTGATTACGATTATTACAATGATTTTATTGACACAACTTTACTTTGCACGTTACTTTACAGCTTCACGTTACTTGACTGTTTCAATTCGCGATCTGATTCACAACTAACTAAATGCCTTGCCACTATTTATATGAGCCTTGCCTCTAGCCTTGTTTCTAGACGATCTGGTAACACCTAGATTACGAACAATCTACCAATGCAACAAACACATACAAACTTACATTAAGTGTGTCTGGTTACTTTTGCAATAACATTTATTCAGTAAGTTCTAGTTCAGAGAGTAAGCTTTTCTTACTCTCTTTTGCGATAATACTGAAAAAAGTAAACAGACAACATTTAGTAAGATTTAGCAAATAAACAGCTGATTCAAGAAAACATTTGATTTGCGCCAAAATAAACAACAAACAAAGGACGAACACAATTATTTGTATTGCATTTAATATTAAAAATAAAATGAATAATAAAAGAAATATTGATCTGTTATGTTCCCCGGGAACATTTAAGCTCCCTGCATCAATATATTGCCCTCTATCTGGAACTTGCCTAAAAATATATAAGGAATTAGTTTCTAATTTAATGAAACTTTGCATTACTTACGAATTTTCTTCCATTTTCTGTAATTAACTTCAAATTGAACTTTGCAAATTAAAAAAAATGTTTTAAATAATGTTTGTGTTTGGTCAGAAAACAGCTGATCAGAAAATGGCTGAGTTGCAAAATCTTACTGAATAAAATTCTTTCAGTAAACTCCAGCAACTTTGTTGTTGTTCAACTGTCAAACTTGCTCTCTCACTTGACTCTCTTTTACTGGATTTTTGTGTAAACAACCAACATTTAGTAACATTTGGTAACAATTGTTACCAAATATCGAGTTAACAGACAGAGCTATTGAGTGAACAATAACAACAACACATATACAGGCGAGGGAGTAACAAAGAAAGCGGAATTAAGCGATCATCAATGATGACGTTTAACAAGAATTGTACGTCAACAACAAAATAGACAATGAAAGAGGAAATGGAAGGATGTAGAAAAATCTATACAGTAGTTGTTGTTGTTGTGAGGTTATTCGAATAAACTGCGTAGTAGAAATTTACGTTACAATTCAAATTCTTAAATTAACGGAATTCATCTTAATTAACATTGCCCCCCGCTTAAGCCTGTTCGTCCCCAATAGGCACAGTTCACGTTCCGTAGGGGGTCAGCCGCTCCAAATGTACAACTTTCATCCTCGACCTGGGACTGTCGCTCCTCTGGATGCGATAAACGACGTCATTTATTTTCGTGACAATCTTGTAGGGTCCTTCCCAGTGCGTTTGCAATTTGGGGCATAGTCCTTTTTTTCGTTGTGGATTTAACAATAGTACCAGTTGCCCTTCTTGAAACCCATCGGTATTTGCCGCTCGATCGTACCTTGCCTTCATGCGGTTGCTAACCATTTTTATTCGATGGCGAACTGCATCGTGGACTTTACAAAAAGAGTTTTGACTGTCTTGTTCTTGGTTCACATCGTCGTTTGGGGTAGCACCGAATATCAAATCGCCAGGTAGCTTTAATTCATTTCCGAACAGAACTTTGGCTGGGGTCCGGGATGTGGAATCATGAATGGCCGATCTATAAGCCAGTAAAAACTTTGGAATATGCTCATCCCAGTCTCGTTGGCCACTGTCCACCACTTTCCGTAGATGTTCTTCCAGGGTGCGATTGAATCTTTCCAACATGCCATCTGATTGTGGATGTAGGGGCGTCGTTCTGGTTTTCTTGATTCCGTAGGAGTCACACATTTCTTTGAAGATCGCTGATTCAAAATTCCTACCTTGATCGGAATGAACCTCAGATGGAACACCATAGCGACAAATCCAATTTTTGCTGAACACATCCACAATTGTCCTGGCTTCTTGATTTGGGATAGCATAAACCTCTGGCCATTTGCTGAAGTAATCCATGACCACTAAGACATACCGGTTCCCAGAGTCGCTTATTGGGAACGGTCCAGCTACATCCATTGCGATTCTTTCAAAAAAGGGCTCCTAAATTATACTGCTGCATGTAGCCTCGACTCTTCCGTGTTGGACCTTTAGCTCTAATGCACCCTTCACAATTGGCGATCCAGTCGGCAATGGATTTTTGTAAGCCGACCCAGTAGAATCTCTGCTTTACCTTTTCAGAGGTCTTTGCTATGCCAAGATGTCCTCCACTTGGCCCATCGTGAAACTCCGACAAGACATCTCTTATTTTGGAGTCTGGGACGACGGTCAAGTTCCGGTGAGATTTACCGTCCTCACTTTCCCATTTGCGATATAAGCAACCATCTATTATAAGTAGACTGTCCCACTGGGCCCAATAGGATTTTAAAAGAGGGCTTTCGGAGGTAATTTCTTTGCGACTAGGTCGCTTGCCCGTTTCTATGGCCGAAATTATTTTGCCCAGAATGGGATCTCTTCGTTGTTCCGTCGACCAATCTTCACCCGACTAAAACTGCAATAGTCGGACATCAGCGATATTCTCTTTACACTCAGCCTTTGAGCAATGCCTGCATTCTACCTTGCATGGCCGACGAGACAGGGCATCAGCATTTCCATGTTTTCTGCCTTTTATGTGCTCGATTCTGAAGTCATAACTCTGGAGCCTCTCAATCCAACGGGCTAGTTGACCTTCCGGATTCTTAAACTGCAGCAACCATTGGAGAGCAGCGTAGGAGTCACACATTTCTTTGAAGATCGCTGATTCAAAATTCCTACCTTGATCGGAATGAACCTTAGATGGAACACCATAGCGACAAATCCAATTTTTGCTGAACACATCCACAATTGTCCTGGCTTCTTGATTTGGGATAGCATAAACCTCTGGCCATTTGCTGAAGTAATCCATGACCACTAAGACATACCGGTTCCCAGAGTCGCTTATTGGGAACGGTCCAGCTACATCCAAAAAAGGGCTCCTAAATTATACTGCTGCATGTAGCCTCGACTCTTCCGTGTTGGACCTTTAGCTCTAATGCACCCTTCACAATTGGCGATCCAGTCGGCAATGGATTTTTGTAAGCCGACCCAGTAGAATCTCTGCTTTACTTTTTCAGAGGTCTTTGCTATGCCAAGATGTCCTCCACTTGGCCCATCGTGAAACTCCGACAAGACATCTCTTATTTTGGAGTCTGGGACGACGGTCAAGTTCCGGTGAGATTTACCGTCCTCACTTTCCCATTTGCGATATAAGCAACCATCTATTATAAGTAGACTGTCCCACTGGGCCCAATAGGATTTTAAAAGAGGGCTTTCGGAGGTAATTTCTTTGCGACTAGGTCGCTTGCCCGTTTCTATGGCCGAAATTATTTTGCCCAGAATGGGATCTCTTCGTTGTTCCGTCGACCAATCTTCACCCGACTAAACTGCAATAGTCGGACATCAACGATATTCTCTTTACACTCAGCCTTTGAGCAATGCCTGCATTCTACCTTGCATGGCCGACGAGACAGGGCATCAGCATTACCATGTTTTCCGCCTTTTATGTGCTCGATTCTGAAGTCATAACTCTGGAGCCTCTCAATCCAACGGGCTAGTTGACCTTCCGGATTCTTAAACTGCAGCAACCATTGGAGAGCAGCGTGGTCGGTTCTCAGCAGAAAATGCTGGCCATATAGGTATTTGTGGTAGTATTTAACGCTCTCAAGGACAGCAAGCAGCTCTCTTCTCGTCACACAGTAATTCCTCTCAGGCTTCGACAATGTCCGGCTTTAGTACCCTATGACTTTTTCCTGTCCGTCGATTTCCTGGGAAAGGACGCCACTGATGCCGCACGCACTTGCATCTGTGTCCAGAGCAAACTTGCCGCCAGGTATAAGGTATGCCAAAATGGG